GTAATTCTTTGAGAATACTTAAGCGATTTTGTGTTTTGATTATTCTACCGTCTTGCAGTAGAAAGGATGGAAAAAGAAAAGATGAAAAAAAGGAGAAAAAGAAGGATGAAAAATAAAAAATCTGTGAGATTATTAAAATGGCAAAAAGTATTTCGGTCCATTAAGTCGTATACATTTCTTACCATTACCACAAGTCGTATACATTTCTTACCGTTACCACTATCAAATAGAAATACAAAATCACATGAGTGTTTTTGGGTGTTTTGACATAAGTATTTTGATTATTCTCTCGTCTTGCTAATAGTTTTTTGCTGTTAGCATGTGCGATGATTCAGGCTGCTCCCTAATGCTTCGACCTGCCTTAGCAAGGCGATGAATTCGGAGAGATTTTTGTCCTCCCGATTCGATCTGTTGATGTTTTTCTATCGAATACTTTGTAATTGGCCACTTATTGTGGCACTCACTTATGTGTCAGGTTTGGAGTACTTTAAAAATTGTTGATGTTTCTTAATTTTTTCAATTTCTACAACACTTTTCTCTGTGCATTGTTTTTTCACGGTTGTATTTTTTCACACATTTTCCATACAAAACTAATAAAAATGTTTTTTTTTTTGTTTTACAGAATAAATAAAGGATTGATTTTTAACGTTACTTTCAAGTATTTCTTTAACTGAAATGCCGAATTGAGCCGACTCATGTTCGACTTATGCTGTGATACGCCGTTATTGTACTGACTGAGGTAATTCTGTTATCTCAGCAGTGATATGCATACTTGAACACAGATCACAGCAGACACGCGGAGGATGATCCTGTCGATATCCAAAATGCTTCTCGGCAATCGTTTGATTTAGGATTCATACTGACGAGGTTTAGTCCCAGTGTTGAGTGAAAACGTATATGACTTAATGGACCGTCCTGGGTCAGGCCCAAGATAGCCATGGTCACTCTCCCTGGGCTGATGGTCATTGCATTCCTCTTTTTGGGGGCCTTCCGTTCTTTTTCTTGAACTAGCGTTGCACTGTAATAAGATAAAATATTTTTATTTTAAAGGAACTAATAAAATGTTGGAAGGTCTATTTAATGTTAAGAAATGTTTTGGTCCATTAAGCCGTATAGATTTTTGCACGGCCGAGCCGTGTTTTACCAACTTGCGGGCTGGCCATGCGTGATTTTCAAAGTTTTGCCAATGTTTCGTTTCTCGGTGGCACGGTTTCGCTCAGTGTTGCATTGGGTCAAACGAACAAAAACTTAAAACTTTTCGCTAAATTTTCTCTTTATGAAACACGGGGAGGAAGGAAGGAACTCGGAATTAGTCCCACTTTGGTAGCACATGCTAACAGCAATTGGCTATTGTCAAGGCCGTTGATGATCCTCTTTTTTCCAGCTTTTCTGGTTAATTGGATTGGCAGTTTCCCTGCCAGAACTTCACGAGCCTGTATGTCAGAACCACACACACATCTTGGGGCTGAATTTGAAATTTTTAGCTCACACGTACAGAGGAAAATATCCCTGCAAAGTTTCAGCTCTTAACGAAACAAATTTCTTTGAAAAATCGTTGCAGCAAAGCGAGTATGGCTGTTCCGGCTCCGGATGCAGCATGGATTTTGGAAGATTTGTTGGGCCCGGAAGTTTCGAATCATTGCTCACATTTCAAGGTTTGTTATTTCCTGGTCATTCATTTGTGAGGTGGGATCTTTGATCTCTTAAATTTGTCTAACAGCGATAGTGTTAGGAATTCTCGACAGCTACATAGAGGGGTTTTTTGGTAAAAAAAAAAGTTAAAAACTGTTGAAATGAAGAAGATTACTACTTTTTAAGGATTGAAGTCCAGGATTTTTGGCTGAGCTACAGTTATTGGAAGAAGGCAGACAAATATTTTGAGGATTAATTTCCGGCACTCGTAGAAAAGGACAGATTTTTGAGGATTGGGAGATCCGGGTTTTGTAGTGGAATTTTAGAATTTAGAAGAATATGGATTCATGAGACGTAATCATTGTTTTTTACTGCTAAATTGAAACCTGTTATTTAAAAAAAAGGTGCATTTCGGCGTTTTTTTTTCTCTCCTGCATTGTTTGATGTTGTTATATCATTTCAAATTATAATTTAATTAAATCTTGCTTTCCAAAAAATCACAGAAAAAAATCGTAAGAATTAAGCCCAAAATCATGAAAATAACTTAAAAAATATGCATTTCGGCGTTTTTTTCTCTCGTGCATTGTTTGATTTTGTTATATCATTTCAAATTATAATTTAACTAAATCTTGCTTTTCAAAAAAATCACAGAAAAATAAAATCATAAGAATTAAGCTCAAAATCATGAAAATAATTTTATCATCATTTTTTTTGCAGGTCTACAAAGCTTTATGGAATCCATGTATTAATCTGCTGGCGCTGGCTTCACAAAAAGGCGAAATTGTTGTGCGACGTTTACACTGGAAACGTGGATGGAAGGTGAAATTGTAGCTCTGTACATTAGAATTTTACTTTTTTTTGAATAAAAATCAAAAATAGTAGGATCCTTAGATATTTATTATCTTGTTGCTGCACGATTTTCATTGGATTCTGGGGATGGAATATGCCGAAATTCGTTTCCTTGCAACGGTATTTCAAAGAATTGTGTAATGTACGACTGCTATGAATTTTTTAATAGTTGGGACATTTCACATGAAAAAATAGCTTTATTTAAAAAAAAAAA